AAATCTTCATACTCATCGCCCTGATGACGGAGGCAATATGACCTTTGAAACGTTGGTAAACATCGACCAGACTACACAGCGCAACAACCCAGAGGAGAGAGATCTTCATACTCACCGCTGTGAAAACCACAAATCTTACATTATGACACAAAATATTTATTAATTAAAGTGACTGACATGAACAACGGTTTGTGCCACAGAGAGATATATATATACAAATGTTGTGTGGTTCATGCTTGATGTAATTGAATAGTTATACACCAACTCTCTGAAACAAATTTTCTTATCACAGTAGATGTGTAGAAGTGTCCAAAACTTAGCCATCATCATTTATGTCGGTCACTTTAATAATGTAGAAGGTTCTAATAAATTTATACAACAGTTCTACAGTCAAATATAATGAAATGAAAGTCTAGTTCTTCAGTCGCGTTACATAGGATTTGAGGTTTTCGCGGCAGCGAGTTTGAAGATGGCTGTCTTCTGGGTAGTTGTGCCATGTAGTTTACCAAACTACATGGTGCAACTGACCAGAAGACAGCCATCTTCATTCAGATTATTCAAAATTGTTATTTCTCTGAGTTTTATCATTATGCATGAACAAAATTTTTAGCAGGAAATGGGCAGCGTACCAAACTGTCTCGTTTACATTTAACCTTTACTGGAATAGGGGATTTAGTGCCCCATTAAATGGGGCTGGCAGCCAGGTTTTAATTCCAAAAGTTAACAGTTTTGTTTCATGCTAATTCAACAAATGACCAACTAAACCACGTAATCACAACGCATCTACGATGAAGGCTGATATTCATCTCACTGGAAGAACACTGTACTGGCAAATGATAGAATATCATTGGTTGAAACCTATGTACTATAAACTCATTTCAGTGGCTGACAACTTTGGTGTGTCAACGTACGCCGCATTTCTGTTTCTGCTGACAATCTGGTGGTCAATCAATTGGGGAGATGCAACAGCATGTCCATACACTCACATTGAAGATGTGGTCCTTGGAAATACAGATGTACGCACCGCAGTGCTGAAATCTGCTTTTGAGCTGGCAGGAGGCATGCTTGTCTTCAAGTGAGTCTGAAAAACAATGCAAATTTTCAACAAGTTATTTCCCATAAAAATGTCTTGTCAACATTTGGTATTGGCAACTCTTGATGAATGTAATTTCTATTACACACACTCGTTAATATGTTACTTACGGAACCAAATTGTAGTTTTAAAAGCTCCTGTTGTGTTTACGCACAATTATGATTCCACCATACCGCTAGTTGCTACATAATTTCACCATTTTTTATTGTACTATTAAACTATTACATTACTATACAACTGCTTTGGGTACCTTCTTCAAAACCATGTTTTTAACTAGCATTTTCAAATACAAAATACATACAATCTATTGTTGAGTACTTTCGGGATATGATACTTTTATTTTTGTTACTTAAAATTTCCACATAATGTAAGATTATGTTTATTTTCTTCCTCTTGTATTGTAGTCATGATATCGTCCTCTATTTCTTTTTGTACAGCTCGGTGCTTGCGTTACAGGTACGTACAGCTCTTGTGGAGTCTGGAAATAGCCGAGACTCACCATAATCGGGCATTTGGTGACTGTTTTACAGACTTACGGGTAAAGTATCACCTGACATCAGCTAGATGCCCTGTGCCGGAGAAATAAAGAATCCGAGCTTCAAAATAATTCACTTAAAACAATAAATTTTGCTTGCTGCTGCACTATGCTCTTGCACATTCTCATAGTGCAAGAACAGGAACAAAAGAAAGACACGCCTTAGCTGTTCTGCGGCTGAGGCTAGCATAGCTTTTGCAACAGTCGTTGGTGTCTCCGGTTAGCAATGAGTGTGGTGGGTAATGCTCCCAGTGATGTTTGGTCCATGTGCTATATCTGTTGAAAGTTCAATGAACGCATTACGCCGAGAGGCAAAACAAATGGATTATATTTTAAATATGGTTTGGCAACTTCTGTATGCACAAAGTATACCACTGCTCTTAATCTGATGAACAAGTTTACGATGTTTCAGCTTGTTTACAGTCATAATGAAAGTCTCAAAGAGAAAATAATATTTTTTGCTGGGTGGGTAATTTTCTTGCTATTGGAAACCTTATGAGTTCTATGAGCTGGGATAGCTCAGTACAGTGACTAGCTACGGGCTGGACGACCGGGGTTCGATCCCCGACGGGGACAGAGTATTTTTCCTCTAGCCTCTGCGTCCAGACATGCTCTGAGACCCACCAAGCCTCCTGTCCAATGGGTACCTGGGTCCTTACCCAGGAGTAAAGCATGGCCGGGGCGTGATGCTGACCACTCACCCCATCTAGTGCTGAAGTTAAGAATGAGTAGGAGCTATATCTTTTCTGCCCCTAAGTGCCTACATGGCTTGTAGTGGGGCGGCTTTACTTTACTTTTGAGATAAGATGAAGTTCACTTGGTGGCTCTAGTATTATCACATATCTACTCTAATTATTGTATGCAGTTCACTGGACTGGACATTGCTGCTTTATTTCAAGATGCCTTTATTTTCTCATTATGTTGGTCATCAGTCTCTTTATGAATAAAACTTATCTATTAATCCTGAAGGACAATTTCCAGTCCATAGAACTGATAACTGCTCACTTGCACAGGTTCCAGTGCTTTATGGCGCAGCTATTGAAGGCTCTGCCACCTGTCTGTGCCGTATCGCTTCCAAAGCACTGTCTGAACTCCAGCCTCGATTCAGCACTGCAATTGACTCTTTCATTTCAACGTCACTTGTTGTGGCAGGTGAGACAGATGACTGTCAAATGCAATAAACTTGCTGTTTTAGTATATTTTCAGTTGAAGATTTCTGTCTTCTGGGTTGTTGCACTGTGTAGTCTGGTCAATGCTAACCAACGTTTCAGAGGTCTTACTGCCTCCGTCATCAGGGCGATGAATATTCAGAGCAACAACCCAGAAGACAGAAATCTTCACACTCACCGCTGTGAAAACCTCAAATCTCTTTTCAAAATTTACCATCACCACCACTAGTCAGTCCTACTCTAAGCAATTTCCATACATACTCGTAATCACATTTCTGAAAAACCAATACCCATAGCACACCTGAATTTAACTGCTATAACAGAATTATCATGTGAAGTTTCTTATAATCTAACTTCATATAGAATAAATTATACTTCTAGTATGTTTGTGTATAAATTTTATTCAGAAACCAAATCTGATTAGGTCCTCTGAAGCAAGTAATTTTCCAGTGATAACAATGAAATCTGAACCTGACATTGAGGCATGTAATGAAATTGCCTGGACCATCAGGCTAGTGTTATTAACATTAAAATAAAATCACATTGATCTGAATCAGAATACAAATAATAAACAGTTTAATCCATGAAAAAAGAAATAATCTTTAAAAATATGTTACAAATTATTTATCCATACCATTTTCCAGAATTTAAGCCATGATTTCTGTGCTCCGTACTTTGTAGTTCAAATCTATAACAATGGTTAACTTGTGTAGGTGATAGTGATTTAACTTCTAGATCTTCTTGTAGCTGATCATGAACCAAACTTATGATGCACCTTCACTGGTGATCACATACAATGGTTAACTTGTGTAGGTGATAGTGAACTAACTTCTAGATCATCTTGTAGCTGATCATGAACCAAGTATACAATGCACCTTCACTGGTGATCACATACTCGCTGAAGCTGGATGGACACACAAGCTTCTCTGAACATGATAATTAAGAGGAAAGTTCCTAATTTCCTTGATGCAACTCACTTATAAATTGTGTTTATTGCTACTTTATTGGTCCTACGATGAACTTCTCCGTGTATCTTAACAGACCAATGTAATTCTGTCAATGCTTTTTCATTGTAGCATTTGACTATTCGGGTGGCTACTTCAACCCAGTACTGGCAACCTCCCTCAAGTATGGCTGTCGAGGCAACACGCTGATCGAACATGTCGTGGTGTACTGGGTGGGAGCAAGCCTTGGGGCGACAGCATCTGTCTTCCTGTACCAACATCCAACAACACAGAAGTTGTTGATTGGAGGAAATAAGGATAAAGAAGAATAAAAGAATAAATTGCTCAATGTGACATTTTTTGTGCAGTTCTGGACAACAGGATATGCACATACAAACACAAACTCTGCCTTGCTGAATTTTTACCACAGCTGCTTCTCAGGAAACACGCAATAAAGCAGTCAGTAGCGCAACCATGAAGAGTACAAATTTTTGTTGTTCTTGATAGATCCTGTGATAATGTGTACTGACTGTTATGTTTCCAGATTCTATTGAATAAAGCAATGAAACCTCAGAATTAATTCACTTCAATTCTTTGTGGTCCAATACAGTTCTACATCACTTTCCGTTGCCAGTCATTATTCCTAAGGCTGGATGTAAGACATCGTTAGATGAGCCAACATCAGACAAGACAAGAAGTGCTTAGTCAAAAATCACCATTATACCAAATTTAATCAGTCATGAACAGAATGTGAGAGGATAATGTTGCTTTAATATCTGCATTTATGATTTGAAAGTAGTTGTGTAAGAAGCATGCTAAGAAGTGGAGGTACTGGGCTCATCTGCACAGCACAGAGACGATTATAGTACTTCAAAACATTTAATTCAAGAATTCATCTCTGACTCAAAGAAGTTTTATAATTACACATGAGTAATGATAAAAATTACTGATGATTTGCTTCAACTTTTACAGGATCGAATGACAAGAAAGGGTAGTCTTTTAGAAAAAGCTAGTCTATTGCAGCAAAATCACAAAATTAGGTCAATTCATGTAAGTAGAATAACTTATTAGTTACTAATAACTTAGTGCTCTGTAAGAAGGGTTTAAATCAAATGTAATTTGGAGCCCTTCTTACTGAGCATCAAAGAATTAATGTAAAATAAATGTGGCAATACATTCATTCAGTTAAATATATCCACAAATTTCTTTTATTTCTTAGAATTCTCTATATGCGTCTGTTGACACGTTCATAACAATCTAAACTAGATATTTTTTTAATGTTGCATATGATCATTTACAAAGAATGTGACATTAACCAAAAACTGTTTTGGCTTATTCTTAGCTGCACAAAGAGATGGTCCATTGTGGTTCCTTACATAGAAGTTGCTGAAATTCGTTCACTTGTATTTGCATTAATTCACTCAGAAATAAAAATTAAAACAGAAGGATCAAATTCCATACAATAGCACTTGTTTTAAACTTTCATTGTTGTTCTTATGAAAATGTTACACAGTAAATGATGTCACTTGGTATAATAAGTTGACAATACACATTTTATAGGTTAGTTTGTTTAGAATAATCAGAAGGATGCAGTATGTACACACAAAAGGTATAACAACTGAAGACAAAATTTGGATGGAAATCCTGAAGGGAAAAATCTACTCAGAAGATTTAGTTACAAACAGGAGTATAATATTCAAATGGAGTTTAAGGAAACAAGATGGAAGGGTGGGGCCATATTATCCAACAGGCACACTGTGCCTAGGGTCTACAAAAAAATTTTGACCATGTTTTTCTTATTTGAATGATAAAACTTCTTAACACAATCTCTTCTTAAATAAATATATATTTAGCAAGTTATTTGGTAACAGTTAAAATCTGAGTTCAGTCAGTTGGAACCAGTTCATGGTGGAAACAATTCTGTTCTTCTTAATGTAAGAAAACAAAACAACGATAAAAATCATCCCACAAGTTTTCTCAGAAAGCTGGACTCCATTGTCCTTCATAGCAAATACACAAATTTTACTTTTATCCTTTTTTATTCTCTTCTAAGTACATTTGGTCAGATTCTATAGGACAGAAGAATACTTTCACACTTTTCCAAATGTGGTTCTGATTTTCATGTATACATGGAAACCTGCAGTATGTTTCAAGGATTTGAAAATTGTAATCTGGGATTTGGAATTAAAATGATAAATTGGAATCTAGTGGAACATTTTCTATGGGTGTAAGTTTCAGTTGGAGCAACTGACAAAGGAGAAAGCATGTACCACATATGTCCTCCAACATCTCATAATTTCTCTGTATCATAAAGGTGACAAACAACATTCACATTATGCTACTTGAACAGATATGTATCATACTACTACTAGAGAAAATTTGCATAATATAACTACATACCACCATTTAACTACATTTAATGAACCACAATAAAACTACACTGTCTGTCAAGTTCTACACATTTTCACAAAAGTTAAACTATACCTTGAACTGCAACAAGTGAAGAACACCAGCTATCAAATCACTAACACAGATCATCATACAAGGATGTGTATGCACACAATGCCATTTCACACTTATTCACCATTTTGAATATTACCCTTGACTTTGCATGGAGGAAAACATGAAACAATAGAATACCTAGTCTAAAAACTTACATTCAAACTGGGATCTCCTACAGCTGGAATGCCATCACTATGCTGCAAAGCACTGTAAAAAAACTGAATGATGCATGGGAAAATGATAAATTATCAAATGGAAAACAAAATATGAATTTTTTTTACAAGAATTGCAAAGTATGTCACAAAAACAAAAGAGTATAGTTCCTTTCTGTCTAGAATGCAGTCTAGAGTACTTAGCTTTCTGTTTCCTTCCTTTGGAATTGTAAAACTGTTGTGATTATACATTCCACAATAGCAACAAATTCATTGAATGGTTGAAGAACTATCAACCACTTGGTGAAGTAGTAGTACCATGGAGTTAGGTTAGAAATGTACAAATTAGGACTGTCTTGTGATTCTAAAAAATTAGGCCTGAGACCTACATTTAAATGTGTTAATGTAATATCATAAAAATTTATAAATTCCTTTCAACAAGAGAAGATGCTATTAGTACTAACTACATAAAGCATGGTTAGAAGGGGGTTTTCAGACTTCATCCAGTAAGGGGATCCAAAGACTGAGAATCTGAGACTTGAAATCAACCAGATCAACTGCAACTTCAGTTTATATTGCAAATAAATAAGTCCTGACTGACTTGAACCAGTCAGGACTGGAAAACAGTGTCAGCATATCTCAAGGAAGAGGATTTGGAGACATAATAAAACCAAAAGCAAATGCTGCAATTCAAAGTCATTTATTTATATTTGAACAATCTCTTGGCATTTGCAACTTCAGAAAGTATTTTATATGCATTCAGAAATTCACTATACCTACTGAAATGTATATATGACAATAGAAGGACTGGTATACAATATACATATAATATATAAAACCATTATCTATTCAAAAACTGTACATATTCAATACTGTTCAGTGTTTGTGTATGAAACAAAACATCTCTCTTAACAGAATTAACCAATCTAGCTTACGAAACCAAGTTGCATAGAAAATACACTACAAAGAATCATCATACATTATTTCATCTACACCAGTACCTATGTACACTATTAAGCATGTACAGAATACATATAGTATACTATTTATTGCAAGAAATGAACTAGCGTACGTATTCAAAAACCATGCTCAAACTTCCACTTCATCAATATTTATGCTGGAGAGAACGTATTTGTCACACATAAAAATTCCCACGCACTTATCACAGACGTATTAATTTATGTGACGTGTGAATGTTCACAACTGATGTCATCTCTTGTGTACCAGCAAATCAACCATTTCATGTTGCAAGCACATCATGGCCTCACTTATGAACATCTCACACGATGTTAAAAAACACACATCTATACTTAAAATACTACAGCATAAATGTACAACATTTGTGTTGTAAAATGCAAAATAATGGCGTGATTCTATCAACAATTATACGTATACTTGGAGAGCACCACTGCTTCTGTGTGAGTTTGTTAATGCAGTAGAAATGTGCATGAACAAACCCACAGAATTACTGTGAACACAATCTCGTTCAAGCCACCCAACTGAATTTTAAAGGCATTAGTGCAACGTAATCCAGACATCTGTATGCAAATCACAAGCACAGTGTAAAGAGGGCTGCACAGATCAGAGCTGGCTGTAAACAGGAAGGCGGAATAGTTCAAACAGCCGACAGGAAATATGATGGCTACTGTCTTCAAACAACTGACAGACTGTTAACAGGAAATTGGATTATGTGTATTTGAACAGATGAACTATCAGTCCAACTGAATTAATTTCAAAACGCTTTTGACCTAATTAAATACAATAGTGTCAAAGAAGTAATTTCATTACACCTTTATTATTAAAATTTATGAAGTTCATTCTAGTAAAGATTATCAAACTCCACCACATGGAGACTGTTTCCACATCTGAATATATACACGCTACAGCACAAATAATGTGCGATAAAGAATTCAACCAAATAAATTCATCAATTCAATTTATCTGAAAAGTTTCTGAAAAAGACAACTGTCTGGGTAGTGTTCCCACACTGTGCAACGGAGTTCACGCAGACCGACTTCAGCACACATTCCATAATTTGAACATGGAACTGGCAAAACAGTTCACATCTTATGTCCTGATTATGAGCAAGAGTTATCACTACAATTATCTGTACACACATCCAATATAGAGGAAAAATTGCACACGTGAAATAGACAATTATATGGCACACACGTACTCGTCTTTGTAATGGAAACATGGAAAAACAGAACAATCTAGCATACAAGAATTTAAAGCTAATTACATGAGGCATATTTTTCTTGTCATTTAACTAAGAGTACCATATTGTCCATTCCATGCTTTTACACATGCAATATTGTTTATTTTATAAACAAATGGAGGGAGTTGATATACTTCTCAGGAGTAAATCATTCAAAAGTAGTGGATATACCAATATCATAAGTATTCATTACCAAATAAAGTCTGATGCTAAAATTAATCATAATATTCTAAATATCATAGATGAGGTAAACTACCGAGGCTCCTGGCCTTATATATGAAAGCAATGAGTATTCTGTAAAAGCAACTTTTCTTCAAGACTAGCATGTTATTACTTCTTGTCAAGTTTAAAGAAATGCTACATTCTATGTAATACTTATCATGAGCAAAATGGGCGGGTCAAGTCTTTTGCAATGCATTATTAACACACACAGTAACAACAACAATGCCAAAAACAACAAAAATTAGACGGATTTTTCTTGTCAGTTTTAGAAATGAGCATTGCTGAGGGGACCAAATATAATTATATACATATATATTTATTGATATAATTAAAATACGAAATACTTTATAAAGTCCGCTACATCTCTCAATGTGACGTATACATAGTATTATTAGAACTGAGAGGAACTAGGTAGCTTCGTGCCAATCCTCTAACCTGAGGCTGGCACGTGTTACGTATACAGTGACTACGGCATTATTACGCCGCATTTGGCATTTATCTCACTGAGCACTGCCACTTTGTTTGCATCATGAGTCCACACAGAGTACAGTGTTCAGTCTGCGCTATGTCATTGCGGCTGTTCCGAGTCTGAGCTGGCATCCCCCTCTAACTTGACCTGTGACTGCTCCTCCCCCTCTTCCTCAAATTCTTCTTCCTCATCCTCATCCTGACTGCTGCCTTCACTTTCCTCGCTGGACAGTACTGTTGAGCTGATGAGCGACGAGTCTAGGAAAAAGACGTTAACATAAATAGTGGCAATGGAGATCACTATACAAAAACAACTAGAATGAAGTGGATAATACCAACCAGTGTGAGTTGCCCCATTTGACTCAGCTGACAGATTCAGCTGTGGCTGCAGAGATGCTATGTTTTCTGGCCAAAATCGCTGTGCTGCCTGCTTGCTGTTACCATTGCCAGAGTGCTTTGCCTTCTTACTACTTGAGCTCTTGCTATGCAGATTATTGCCTGAACTGGGCTGATCAGTTGCTGCTGGGTTTGAGGCATCCAACATTGGTTGTAGAATTCGCCGCCGGGCATTGATGAACCAGTTGTTCACCTGCAGCAATGTCAAGTTTGTTTGCGCAGCAATATGGCGCTTCTCGTCTTCTGTGGGGTATGGATGCTGCAACATGACACGCTACTCAAGCACCTGACTGTACCCCATCCAAACTTACACTGAAATCTAAATGAATCTCATGTTCTCTGTGGCATGACTATGTATATGAAGAAAGGTTGCAAGCCACCAGACCTACCACTAGGTGCTGGAAGAGCCAGGACCGCATGACACTGGTGGCATGTTTGGGCAGAACACCACGCTTCTGTTTCTTTTTGTTACTGAGGAAATCATCATCATCATCCACTGACCCAGGGGTTGTGGGGGCTGGTGACAGCTGACCTACAACCAACATGAAGCAAGACACAGCATAACATTAATGCGCAACAGTAATGCCACTAAAGTAGTCGCTGATTCTGAAAACAAAAATTCACCATCATTATCATAATATCAAAACTGACAATTTGGGAATTTGTCAGATTCTGCTTTAGCATATTTGAACTCTGACTGTAAATTTCGTTGCTAAGCCCACAGATGAAACCCAATGTTACAAATGGAAATGAAAAAGAATTTTAGACATTGCGCCTCCTTGCTATACAGCTTATTATTTTGAGGTAAGTATCTCCCATGAGATATGACCACTAGGTGACCCATAACCTGCACAGATTTTATACTTCTGATTTCAATTAAATATTTCTCATGTTCAATTCCATTTATCCCATGACAATTTTAACTATATTAAAAACAGAATGCACAAATTAATCTTGTGAGAGGATCAAGATTTATCCGTACTCTTTTATTCTCCCTTCAATGGTAAGAAAACAGAAATAAACTTCAATCTATTCACAGTATTTATCAGAGTTCTATTTAAAATCTTTATCCCTTTAATGTTAATATTGTCCATCTTTATACAACAAATTATCACTTAATGTTTTAGTATTTAGTTTATAAACATGTTTCTTTAACATTTATTTAACATCAGCAATTTATAATTAACTTTATATGCTATACATTTTAAATCATTTTTAGGTCATATTTTTATACCCAATCAAGAGAAATGAATCAAGCAGAGTAACATCAGGTTTATAAAAGTTAATATCCATCCTAGATAATTACAGTTTCTAGCGTCCAACAGTATAGTGATACGAGAAACAAAATGAAGATGTGAAGATCTGTTTCTAAACCCAAAATATTCATGTGTGAACTACATATAAAAAGACACTAAGTGATAATCTGTTGTATAAAGATGGACAAAAATAACATTTCGGTTAAATTTCACATGACGCTCCAGTACAATGTCATACCCTCCATCTCTTTCTTTATGGAAGTTCTGTACTTTGAGCTCTACAAGTATAGTACAATCTACACTTTATATGATATAAACACACCTCTTCCTGTTTATTATGGTGGATAGGGGGGCAATAGTTACGTGGTTTGTGGCCAACAATTTATGAACAGAAAAATAAAATAATTCCTTATGGAAATACCAATATTCGATGTGCCACTTCTCAGGATGTTTACACTGCACATTTTCCTGTACATGCTACAGAAAATCTCTGAGGAAATGATGATTCACAATTTGTCTCTGTCAAAAGAATCCTGGAAAATAAATATATCACAAGACAACCCCAAATACAAGCATAGACTCATGTAAGCTTATCTAATTAGTGATGATTATCTATTAAATAACCAGATTAGAAGAACTGTGAGGAATCATAAAAATAACTGGAAAATGGAGGCAACACATGGTAACGTTTGGTACTGTAAGGTAAATCAGCTGTTCACAGTAGCAAATTACAGTGGTTGTCCCACTCAATGTATGCACCAACTTGAACTGCAATTAAATTTTTGAATGCAGATTATGTGAATATTCACAGTCATTTGGTCTGTGTCTATGGTAACGGCTGCATATAAAAAAACTCAAAGTGTGCACGCGAGTTCAGACATTTAAAACTGATGAGCCAAGCATGGGCATGATAAGAAGTTTTCTTTTAGATGTTGCAAGAAGCGACATCTGAGTTCACTCTTCTGAACTTCAAAGCATGCAGAGCAGTATGAAATTTCAATATCTGAGCTACCCAGGAAAAATAAATTTTATATTTCACAATTTACAGGCAAGATCTTGTTAACATTAAGCAGGGACATGATAGGTATTGCTTTAGCATACATAGATTAAAATATCTTGTTAACATTAAGCAGGGACATGAAAGGTATTGCTTTAGCATACATGGAGTAAAAATTAAAACAACTGTGAACTCTAATTCTTATTGCAACTTACTGATGACTATTCACTTGAAACCTGCCATTTGCATAAAATGGCAGAAACTGTTTTCAAATGGGATTTACTTCCAATGCAGTAAGTCTCATGTTCACAGTGACTGTGTACCTGAAAGCCTGGGATTAAAAATCATATCACATCCTCATTTTTTTCACCTAAACTTACTCATAGTGATTTCCATAGCCAGGACGCTAAGAAAAGTGCTACTAGGGTGTCATTATGCATAGGATAAAGTGCATTTTTGGCATTAAAGCCAAATAAAACAACTTTATGCTGATAGTATACAATGGCTGGTAACATAATAGATGAATTATATCTACTCAAACAGCATTTTCATAGAAAAACAATAGTTACTCACATGAAATGAGTACAAAACTATTTTTCAGTTTTCCTTTGATACTCCCTGAAAGAAAACAGGCAAAATTTTTAAGTATATCCTACAAGTGTTACACAACTTGCTGTAACATGAAGTGCTACTTACTGTGTAAGAGGCTTGAGTCGCTGGGCGGAGGACAAGGGTTGGCTCCAATCTGAGAGAGGGGCGTACTCCCGTGCACGATACCTGGAGAGGGTGCCTGTGCAGGGAGATGGACAGGTGCTGCCACCAGCCCCTGAGCAGTCTGCACCATCTGGTATGCAATCTGGCTGCTGGAAGGGGGCACAGACTGCGGCTGTGTTGACATTAGCACAGCTCCTCCCCCTCCCCCTCCCTGGTGGTGTGAAGGTGGAACACCGCCTGCAGAGGACACCACCTGTCAAACATGTTACGGCACCAGCTAGAACCATCTGGTTCAAACCGTCAAATAAGTTACGGAGGCAGAACCATCAGGTTCAAACCTAGAGCTGGTATCTCTTCATGCATAATCAATCGCGCTTTTCAATGTACCTGGCACGGCAGGCTGCAAACCTTTTAGATAATGTATCACAACTTGTCAGTTACAATCAAGGTGTGATTCTAAATCCATTACAAGCCCAAAAAACTTTCTCTTTATACCTTGCAACACATGAGAGTGACCTTCTAGGCTGGAGTATCATACCAGGCTACCATGTTGAACAAGAAACTTGAAAAGATTACATAAAGTAACACACAACCGAATGCTCACATGGACAGCAGTTAATAGACTAAACCACCTCTCGTCTTATCACCACATTGCTTAGTCAACAGCTGGCACATCATTAGCCTTCATTATGGCCCCCCCCCCCAAATTAACTTCCATTTTTGCATTAGTACTGGGATACTGGGAACGACCCGTTCTTCAAGTGCCTGAGCACTGCGGGTCCCAACTTTCCGTTGGCTTGATCTAGGGACATTCGGTAGAACTCCTTGGACAAGGCAGGGCCTCTACCTGTACACAGGACAGCACAACACAGAAAAATGCGGACAAACAGCCATGGCTTGAGTGGGATTCGAACCCACGGCCCCAGCGACCAAGCGGCACAAGGCCCACACCTCAGACCGTGCGGCCACTGCGGACCCTTTTCTGCATTAGTACAAATAAAAATTCTGTATTCATAAATTCAGAATCACTTTACATGATAAAGGAGAACATGCCACTGAATGTACACCGCCTACTCCTTACACAAAAAATGTACAATCTGCAACAAAAATCAAGCACTTGATATTTTCTACATCCTAAACCAGAAGTGATGTAAGCGAACAGCTGGCATTATAATTCAAGTCATTTGTAATCTCCTTGTATTTGTCTGTATGTGGCTTTTCTCTGCCTTCCATTAATTACAGCTGCTTATTCCAGATGTCCATTAAGCATAGCAATATGTTTGCCAAATTTGAAGAAGAGCATGAATTGATGACAGTGATTTCTCTGAACTATGTCAGTAAGGTTCAATGGCAAAACAAAGGTTAATGTTATACTTTAATTGGGAGTGTATATCTGGTGGTAGCTGAGACAACAGCACAGTAGATTAGCATCAAAGTAAAGACCATATGGGAGTTTGAGTCTGCCCATGTTACTATTATCTTTTAATATGTATGTTGTTTTTGCATAAATACTCATTTAAACCGTGCAGCTGTATATTATTCAACAAAGGAATACACATTCATGTATCCCACTTTCAAGAAGATTCTTACGAACTGCTTTAGCCAAGCAGCTGATATCGGTTGCAAACAATCACACCAAATTCGAATTTGTGAAATCTACTTTCATCCCTCACAGTGAATACAGGCTCAGAAAGTTAATGCCATAACTACGAGCATTAGGTACAACTGTATCTTGTATGCTGAAATAACATAGATATGGTGACTAAACTTTCATATTTCAAGGTCAATTTATACAGGCCAATATGGCAAATATTCACTTCGCTTTATAATTCAATCAACTCCAAAATCAAAATTCTGCAAACCTCAGTGGCGCACAGGAATGCTGTGTACAATGACTGAATGACTGACCCTCAGACTTAACCAGGAGGCTCAACACTCCCCAATGACGTCTGTCAATGCCAAACAACATAACCTTAATTTTTAAGAACCACTTTAAGATTAGCCTCAGAGATAAGTTGTGGCCATTAACTCTTTCCATGCTGATTTAACAATAGACAATACCCATGGTCTGTATGTATGCATGATAACTTGAGTATAATTCTTAACGATGCAATATGTGAAAAAGAAAGAAAATATTTATATTTTCTCCGACAGTAAACTCCAGCACTATTTAGAGCATCTGGCCAGTATTTGCATGGTATCTTGTTAATGGCATGGAAGGGGTTAACCCCTTAAGTGGGGGCGAAATTTATGCCATTGCATCACCAGGGGGCTTTTTTATTTTATTAAAATAATAGTGAATTTTTCATATATTATACATAATACAGATTTATTAGGTACAGAAATAAAAAAAATTATGTTGTTTAAATTTTTAGCTATTTTACTAACAATTTCACCAATTTTTTTAAACATTTGTCATTTGTTTTCCCCTGCTATTCCCATTGGATTTAGTGGAGTATTTCACAATAAATACGTTTTAATATCTTGCGGAACCATCTGCACATATATGAGCTTAGCCCACTTAAGGGGTTAAATTATAAAGTGACTGCATACAAAGAAAGTCTCCCAGAGAAATTCTGTATATTTCTTGTTTTCCCAATCAAGTTACACCCACTGTGACCTCTTTATATAACTCTCCTAGGACAGGTGTACCAAATCCATACGCATAATTACGCACTTCTCAGGTGATGTTTTGCCCACGTATGGCTACAACTCACCTGCAGAGTGTGAGGCGAAGTGGCATAGTTGGTGTTCCCAGCCGGGCTGTTGCTGTTGCTTGAATGGCTATTGCTGCTGCTGTTGTTGTTATTATTGTTGTTGTTGTTTTCGTAACTTGCGTAGTCAGAACGAAGCAGGTTCTCACTTTGCATCTTGCCCTTGAGGCAGGTGATGTATCGATTGCAGAAATCCTTGCATAACTCCTGCACTTTCTCCAGTTCTAGCAAGTGGATCCGCAAAACCTGAATTGCTTTTATCATCTGCGACATAAATGTGGTCATAGAATTCAAATGTGCATAATTCACACTTATCTTACTACATTCTTAAATTTTAATTCATTACTTCATATGTTTAATAGTTTATAAGTTATATATATTAACTGCATGGATTACAGTTCTTCTTGAAAAGCTAATAGTATGCTCGGCAAGTCAAGAAATTCCCTGCATTTATGGAAATCAAAGCTTCATTACCATGTTCACGAGAGTCCACCACTGATCCCTATCTTGATATTGTGTTCTTCCCATAATGTGACAGACCAGCTTTCACACCCATACAGAACAAAATATAAAATTATATTTCTGAATATTTTAATCTTTACATGTCTTGATGTAAACATGAAACAGAAGATCCTCACTTTCATGGTAGCAAGCATTCCCCAAATTTAGACTGCTTTTGACTTACTCATGAATGTAATCTGTAACCTTTGTTTCCAAATATTTTATCTTTGCCACACTCTCATTATTTATTAACTCCCTCATCCCCAATTGTTTGTTTGTAAACATCGTTCCTCCCAGCCATTCCACTAAAATGTACTAACGCAATTTTCATGGAGTAGTTAGGTGACTAACGCGCCGTAGCCGCATGGCCTGAGGCATCATGCTTCGGACCGGTGATACAGAATGCGCGCCGGTTCGAATCTCTGGGAAAGAAATTTGTCATGAGATTTTTGACCGGTGTATGGGACCGGTGCCAACCCAGCATCGTGAGGAAATTGGGGAGCTACAATGGGTAGCGTAATCCGTTCATTAAAACTAGTGATGGCTGGGGGTTCGTCGTGCTGACCACGTCACCCTATATCTGGTTGGATGATCGTTCACCTCTGCTTAGGCATGTGAACGTGAGGCCAGCAGCCAGATAGTCGGCTTTGGCTCTCAGAGGGCTCTTACGCCACGCATTATCATAGTTAGGTGACTAAATACACTCAGCTGATGCTCCAATGCAACAGCCTATTAATGTTACATATGACATACTTTTGCAAACAAACACTACCCTGTGAATAACCATCATGATTGCCTTATGTACAAAAAAGGCAGTCTCTAAATAATGATCAGCATTCCCATTTCCACAGAATAATGTACTTTTAACATGGGATGTTACAAAGCCACCTGCCCACCCTCTGTCAGTTGTTCATGACTTCTTTTATCTTTACACAGTTACCCTCCACATGTAGGTCTTCTCCTACACCTGCAACCTTAGGGCAAACCATGCTTTTGTGATGAGGGATCCACTTAGCAGGTAAAATACACTACATTAAATATCTTCACATTGAGTTTTGCATGTGAAGAAAACTTCCTAGTTATGAAAAAATGAAGACACATTTGAATGTTATGGACTTCTTTTTATGTTCTCTTGTTTACATCACATACCATCATGAATGAGTGTAAAGGCATATTTTATCAACCCATCAGAAAATCCCAGTTGATAATTAGTCTTTCCAAGCAAATACTGAACAGTACCTGAAAATCCAATATCCATAATTTTTCTACACTTACCAATCCATCGACTTCCGGGTCATTCATAAGGAATGGTTTCCTGTCCCGTTCTTGATGCTGCACAAAGGCCTGGATATCCATATTAAAGCTCTCAGAATTTGGACACTCAGCGGACTGAGTTGCCTGCTCACATCTTTCAAACAGGAGTGCCAGCAATGGGAATAGTGGATGTCTGCATTAAGAAACAAAAAGCAATGTCTAAAATGTTAACACTGAGTACCTGAATCAACAACACATCAATGAAACATTAACTACATAACCAAGAAAGAAATTAAATATCTACAAGGGATTACTGTCATTGACAGAAAAGTTACGTTTTTAAATGACACCCATCCTTACTTGTACACAGATCGTTTGTCAGCTTCAAACTGTGCCTGGTCAGGCTGACTGAAACCTGTGCCCTGGTCATTTGATCCTGTGGTCATCGCTACTCCACCTCCAGCTTCTGTTTGCTCGTAACCTGGGGTCACCATCGTGCTGCCCTCTTGCATGTCCCAGCAACGATCACGCACCCATCTGTTATAAACATCGGAACACATCAACAAAATGTGAAGCAGTCGTGTTTGCAAGACACAAAATTCATTCAGAGAGTGTACAACAATCAGCCTGCCTAAACCAAGCGTCAAAAGATATTAAGCAGAACAATCTGTATACCACAATAAGGTGTGGAACAGACACGAGCAGTATACTAAAAACAATTCAGTTACAGTCATTTGATCTGAACAATGATGGATGTTAAATGAATGAGTGGAAAAAGAAATCTGTTGTAAGTTTACTAGTTACCAAGCAGTGGCCTGAGTTTATAATGTAACTATTTTAAATCTTGGCAATACCAGCAGCATGGTTGATTTATTATTTTTAAGGTGTGTTTGTCCAAGCAAGCTCTGGGTAGCATCATCCTCAAAATGGTCATTACCTGCCTTCTTTCAATCCACCATGTCCTCAAAAGCTGGTGACAGATGGTATTGCCCATCAAAACACAAATTACATTTACACATACAAACTACTAGTACATTCAACTTAAGTGTGGTCACAATACTCTACAATGGACATTCCAACTGAAAATAAATTAATAAAGGAAAGAATAAATGGGTTTAGAAGTTATTTCTCAGTGATCCTCCATGAATACACTAAGCTAAATGCAATAATTAAAGGAATTTCAATTTAAAGTTTTAATTACTCCACAAGACACAAATTAATCTTTTTTGTAAATGTATGTAAATACTATCCTGGAAAATTCAAGTAGGAGATTACCGAATCACGGCAGATACGAGTACTAGAAAAAAAAAGTTGGCAAGCTATATCAATACACCAAACATCGTGGCCAGGAGCTATACACTACTCCCTGACCTATAATGAATGCAAGATATTAGCATACTTGATAAGGCACAGGAAATTAAACACTTCCACACACAAATTGAAAAGACAACAATCAGCTGATGACTGAACACTGCATGGCATAAACCACAGGGTGCTTGTCACTACCCACAGAGAAATTCCATATTGGCATCTTTGGTTAGAGCTGCAATAAACACACTCCAGCAATAAAAATGCATTCTCATCTTTTTTTCTTTCATCCCTTATTCACTACTCTCTGCTTTCACGTTCACTGTGATCAGCACCACTGTGGTATGGACGGGGATATTCACTGTGTCAAGATGAATTACCTCCTAAAATATTTATTTATTTGCTTATTCCTTATTTTAAAGTATATTACATGGAAACTTGGTTCCTTTACTTATTTTACATTACCTATCTGAAATAGTGCAGATTATTGATTTTGGATACACATACACACATCTCACGACAATGAAGTGTCATCACATATAACGAAGTAACTTATAAACCTGTACTTACAGATTACTGCCAAGGATTGTACATCTTTCCACATTTAGAGGCTCAGTCAAATGGAATTATAATTTCTGAGTTCCTCAATGGTGAAGCCACTCTCGTATTTAAGAAAACTGTGTTCCTCTTGGCTTACAAGAGCAATTCAGGATTTCAATATTTTCATTTTCTCCTTTTCTGGTTGGACGTGTTAAAATTTTACAGTTCCGAATTAGAACTGATTCAGAGCTATAAACATTTCTCTTTGGTACATGTCACAAATGGCTCCATAAAGAAACTCGAAAGGATTAATAACTGCAATGATCTTAATTCAAATTAACCAGACACTTCTGACCTACCAACCCAATTCAATGTACATATAAAAAAGTGTAAGAGTGAGATGTGTCCCATAATAAATTTTCTGCAAAGTTTTGGGGTGTGACAAGTACCAGCATCATTGAGAGTATGGTCATAATAATTTTTCATGACAGATATTTTGGAATATAATAAATTTCCATTACTTGCACTGTTGTATTGGATGAAAAATATCATTGGAAATGCAGGAAATTTAAACTCACCGTTCTGTTTACTGAAGATAATACACGAACCACTGTTCCTACGTACATAGCTCTTCCATATGAATACATATTCTCGTTAATGAACTTTATTGTAAATAACCAAGAACATTTTCAAACTAATTCTGCTATACACTGTGTCAACACAAGGAATAAAAATCAGCTTCATAGACCAATTGCCAACCTCTCATGCTTTCAGAAGAGTGCATATTATGCAGGAATCAAAATTGTCAACAGTCTACCATCAAATCTCACAAGTCTTGTAAATAAAAAGGCACAATTTAAACCAGCATTGAAAAGATACTTAATTACACACTCCTTTTACTCTGTCGATGAATTTCTAATGTTTACAAGTAAGTCGTAATTTATCTATTGTATATAATGGGTGGATTTATTTGTAACTTATCTCTACTTCATGTGAACCCTTTGTTTGTATTTTTGTGACATTTATATAAAAGTATGACTTGTATTTGTATAACATGAATTGTATTATTATGACTTTTTCTACATCCTATTGTCATCTGACTAACTTATTGATCCATGGAATGTAATAAAGATGTATGTATGTACGTAAAATTTCGTACAGTGAAAGACCATACATAAGTTCTGCAAGGGAGTAAAGCAGACTACCTCAGGTCTTGTCCTACTGACATGTATTGGTACTAGTAAAGGAACAAGGAAGTCCAGTGTAGATTGATGATTGATTATTTGACCATTCATATTGTTGTTTCAACTGTACAGTTAGGCGAATGAGATGGGACCACGGTCAAAAACAACGGAGGAGGTGTCATAGCATACTTGGGAGGACAAAAACAAACTATACCAGCATTTTATTTCGACCGATATTCGAACCTGGTGACTATCGAATAAAACTCAGCAGAATTACTACACACCAACCTGCTCGGCCATGTAAGCAAATATTTCAGGTGTCCGCAAACTGAGGATCTGCATAACTTCTCCTCACTTTTCATGTCAGTGAAGTCACAGATAACGGTGGTCACGTTCAGTTTAAACGCACTCCGCCTCGCGCGGCCCGCTGCTCTTTTATTATGCATCTGCTTTTTGTCTTTGTCTCCGTGATCGATAAAACTAACCTCATTGAACAAACCCAGGCTAATATCTTCGCATCCAACTCACGAGATGTCGCCCGTCTTGTTCTCTTCGTTCAACAATGTTATTGAACGGATTTGGTTGCGGAGCGCGTTTCATATCAAACCGATGTCTGTCTGTTCGTGCTACCACGACTCAATGAAGTGAAACGATTCCTTTGATTTGCCTAAGAATCCCATGGCCAACGTTTCTTTCGTTTGTTGTCAAATGAGCAGACAACCAACTACATTTACATAGTTCCATTTCACACAGCAATCTCACTCAACTGTTTAAGGCAATACGCCGTATGTTCAAACAAACTATAGAAATATTTCACTAAAAGTAAACTCCTAGAAGTTTCTGTGTTCATTGCAGTTACATCCATCACTCAAACACAACTAAGAACTCACCAGAAAATCACTTTTCCGAAATTTACATTAGCACAGTTTAAAAGGTTAAAATCCTCTGAAGGTAATGGATTTTAACATCATATAAATGTTGGAATAGGAAGTAAAAAATGTACAAGATGCCAGTGGCCTGGGAAACATCCAGGGTGTCCAACGCGCACAGTAACACTCGAGAGCAGTTTGGTAGCACCCGTGGTGGAAAAACGAGGGAGTATAATGTACAGATTATGTGATCACCTTCCACGGTAAAAATCGAGAACGGATAACCCGATTTCAATTAAATTTGATACTCGATAAAATTGTACATAATACTTTCGAACGATTCCAATTTTCATTTAGACTGGAAAATTTTAACACCCACTTTACATAAGAGCAAAAATTAATACCTCGAGCTTATCTCAAATACTTTCATTTACATAAGAGCAAAAATTAATACCTCTAGCTTATCTCAAATACTTGCGAAAAATAGTTATACGAACTTATTCCTTTTAGCTTAGTTGGATAAACATGAAAAATGAGTTGCATAACCAGATTTTTAGCACACTTCGATAAACATGCATTACAGTGAAAACCAAAACTGATCATTACGTTACAAGATGACGTCATGCTCAGTTACATTTTCTGCGCCCACTTTGGTGACACCTTACAATAAAGTACTTTGACCGTTTATAAAACGAAATATTAATTATTTCCCATAACCCCACACTGGATATTTCACACCATCACACCTAACTGACGAACTGCAAACACGTGCAACTCTTTCGATTCTCTTCGGACCCACGTTCTGGGGGGGGGGGGGGGGGGTACTTCCCGAAAATTTTTGAACAACCATGAAGTTCTTACAACTTCTAAACCCTGATAACTACTGAACTTTTATATCAGGCCTATATTATTCACAACCTGATTTGATGTTTGGCAATCTGTGGGTCTCGTGCAACCAATTTAAAACCAAAAGTAAATCATGAAACGAGCCAAACCTTGCGTATAGTTTGCAGACTCTCCTGTTCATGTTTTGCAACGCGGGGTGATTTCATCCCTTAAACCAGCGCTCGGTGAGACGTGACCCGCATGGTAATACGGGATTACCGCATGAAAGAGGCTAATCAAGTTACTTGCTGCAGGGCTTATAGACCCGACATGACGAAAGATGCTATGAATTATGAATTGGGTAGAAAGCAACTCGAGAGAACCAGCGGACAGTGAGTGTGTCAAATCGACGGGCTGAGGCAAACCACGAGGTCAAGCCGGGAGAACCAGCTCACTTATATTGCACAAAGTGAGTACCGTCTAGTGTTTACTTCAGAAAGCCGTAAGAATATGGCCCGCAGATCGTGAAAAGTGTGAATGTACAGTTTTTCTGCTAACGAAAGGGACTTAAGAAAACATTAGGAGAGCTTCGCAGAGGCCTTCATAAAGAACACGACGAGTGAACAGTTCTGTGCCGATGAGAGGGCAGAATAAAATCACGAGAAAACGTCATACCAGCTCATACCTTGCTCAGTATACTGTTAAGTGTCCAACGGTAGTTAAATATCCCGAAGAAAACCACGGCTAAATGTCACAGTGACATGAGTATCTTTTAGATATTGTCTAATGTCGAATAAATGGTATCTTGCAG